GAGGCCTTATACATGGTTTAGGCACTGTTGCCAAGTCGCTATTCAGGACTATAGACGCCCAGGACACCCACGAAATATCTGAGAGGCTTGCGCACCTGGAAAATGTAGTTAAGGACTTTGGATAGTTCCAGGAACCAACTGGAGATTGTCAACTCACCACTCTTTCAGTTGGGACGCACGGAAGAAATCATCAAGGAAAATGAAAGCATTTTGCTAAAATCAATGCAGCAAATAAAAGAGGAGAATTCGCAGCTAGCTCACAAATAGAATATAGATGAACACCTGTTAGTCCTAGAAGCCATCTACAGAGGAGTAAGAGAAAATGCTGTGAAAATAAAGAAACTCCTGACTGAGTCCAAAGGTTTGATATTGGACACCGAAGTTTTCACGGAGACTAGCCTAATCGCTCTTCTCCGCACGGCAACACTACCGAAGGGATTGAGTTTCCCCTTCGAAATAGTAGTTGGAGGAATGCATAAATTACAGGAAATTTCTACCATGAGTATTTTTGCATTCGGTACAAGAATACTCACTTTGTCGGAAGTACCGCTGGTGAACTTCCAAGCGTTCGACGTTATGCTGACGGATGGGATTCCTGTGCGGTCGTCATACGTGGAGGTAACGAGTGAACTCCTGATAATGCACGGCCCGATACAGCAGTACGTGCCGATGACCCCAGAGCAGTTGGGAAACTGCAAGGAAATTCAAGGGCAATATTTATGCATCGAATCATTACCAGTACAAATGACGCGGGACTCAAGCCCTTGTGGAGTTCAAATGTATTTGAACCCAGGGAAAATGCCAAATGTATGGACAGTTGAACAATTGCAGCTAAAACGCCTGCTGCTAATAAAAATGCGGAAAAACAACGCATGGTTCTACGTAGCTCCCGAGGCCGAGGGTATCACTATTACATACGGAGATAAAGAAACTCGAGACGTTCTTCAAGATGCAGGCATTCTGCAGGTACCAAACTTTAGTGGATTGGTCACTGCAGATTTCAGCATCAAAGGCCGAAAATCATTCAGAACGGAATTGAATTCTCATATTCAACCGAGGCTGAATCCGACATTTGATGACGACATCACAGAGAGACTCAACCAAGTGAATGGAAACTTGAGTAACGTCCAACTGTCCAACGTGGTTGGGAACATAAAGGAACTAAGGGGCCTGGAGGTACAACTGGAGACCATGAAGGAAGACCTGACCGAACAGGAAGAAACGTTTAACGCGGGCCCAGTGGTTTGCAGTTATCGCAAATTTCTAACGCATCCATCATGGATTTCTACCGCGATAGTCATGGTCACGTTCATCATTGCGAGATTCCTGATTTATTGGTGGTATAAAAGGTCTAGACGACCTTGGCTGACGCCCAGGAGAGAATATCCGCTCGAAGCGATAGTCATCGAGGGCTGATTAAATTAAGGGAAAAATGTAAAATTGTAGAAATTGTAAATGTGACCCTTTACTACTGGTGTCGGAAACCATGGCCAGTGCCCAGGAGGGAAGTAGCGAACTTTGGAATACCATAAGAATACATGTAACAAATTGTAATTGTAAATATTGACTGTTAAATGTTCAAAGTGGTTTTAAGGGACGAAGGGTAGGTCTAGGAGTTTTCGGCTTTCGAGGCCATAACTTTAGGAAGGTCTTCTGGACCAGATGCAGATAGTTTGAAGAGCCGAGGTAACAATGTCGGCCCAGTGTCGGCATAAGAAATTTGCATGTTTTTAAGATCCTCTTAAATACCATGTAAAAACTGTATTAGTTAGGTATTCCATCAAGGAGATAGGGTTAAAATAGAAAATTACTAAGGGTAGTAATTTTCTTCCCTGGCGGAGAGGGATGTTATACCCCAAATAAGATTACAAAATCTCTCTGACGATTCGGATAACATTAAGTGACGAAAGTGACACATGTTATTCGAATCAAAACATAGAGTTAAGAAATTATACATTCATTAAGAATATACGTGCATTGTAAGACACGTACATTCAAAATAAAAAGTAAGCCAGTGGAAAATGCATCAGCATTTCCACTGGGCTCATTCGCATGATATCATCATAACACCATGCAGATATGAGGTAATGACCAAGACATCATGGCCTCTCGATGAAATAAATACTCGAGAGACCATTGTCTCGAGGCCAGTAACTTGACGACAGTCTTTATCACTGTTCACCTGATACCTTCGGTATCAGACTGAACACATTCAACTGTACTTCGCCAAATTAAAATTTAAATAAAGAGTATTATTTAGTATTGGTTCGCGAGTGCTACTTCCTGCAATATTACCGAACCAAGCCGCTCGGAACTACAACAGGAGTACATAGTACCTTTGAAGAGATTCAAATACTAATGCTATCCCAATCATTACCAAACCATTATAACGATGGATTTGAATACTATACGTGAAATAAATGAATTGACCCGGCTAGCGATGCTATACCATGGAAACCATTAGGGAAGGACATTGGTCCAGAGGGTGGGAAATTCCAAATTTCCTTTAGAAGGCCGAAACCTGAGGGTTATCCCCGGCGGAAGCCAAGTCCGAGCCTACACTAGAGGGGTATCCCTAGTGGAAGCTCCTTAGGAGGTCTATACTGAAGGGGGGTAGAGGGGGTATCCCCAGTAGCAACCTAAAAATCCCACTTAAGCCAAGGAGGGATTAATCAAGTAAATTATATGCAAAAAACATTTAGATTCAAGGAAACAGAGCAAAGTCACACAGAAAGTAGTCATTTGAAATTAGAAAATTACGTATTCATTGTGAAAAGAAAAACAAGAGAAAATAATACGAGAAATTTTCAAATTACCATCCGATCTTGAAATTCGCAAACGAAAACTTCCCGATAGAAAGAATAAGAAGAGAATTAATCGTGGTACGCCCTAAGCAAAAGAGAAATTGATTAGTCAGAGTATTAGTCAAAAGCGCATCTCAGAGTTTTGTCTTCTCTCAATATATTTCTTTTGCTAAAATAAGTATAATCAATGGGAAATTATGTGTTAACCTTGCATTAGTTCTGTTTAAGGAATAAGAAATACGGAAAAATTCGCGAAAACATGCAGTTAGTAATTACCCAAACGGTCTGGTAGTGTAGTAATATTGGTAATTTGTCTGGTCACATAACATTGGTATTGATTCGTGGTATTATGATAAGTTCAATGGAAAGAAGCATGCGTAAATATTGTTTAGACAGAAAAAGAAACAATTTGTCAGAAACTCGTGGTTAATAAGTTTTCTTTATGTTAAATTTTGATTTTTGATTTGCATTTTTTGAATAAACTTTCTTTTGATTTGAAACAAAAAACGTTGTCCGTGTAAGTTTTGTATTTGTGCCAGTACCCCTCACTTATCCGAACCCTGGTAACTCATGAGCTAAGAGGCATATCTCCGAGGGTATTCCGAATTCATTTCGGTCTAGGACTGGTTGAATAAATTTTGGATAAGAAAATTCCAAAACAGTTCATTACAATACACAATCAGATTTTTATAAGAAAAATGGATCTCAATAAAAGAAGGATTTTTTAAAAATTTTCCATAAGATGAAACATCAGTTGGAGCACGAACAACGTTCTTGGCGCGGATTTTTTCTATTCACTGTCTATATGAATCTAAACTCCATATGAATCTATCTATATGAATCTATCCTCCAACTGTTGATCCGCGCCAAGGACGTTGGTCCTTCCCTATTGATGTTTTATCTTATGGAAAATTTTTAAAAAATCCTTTTTTTTATTTAGATCCATTTTTCTTATAAAAATCTGATTGTGTACTATGCCCATTTATTTGACATTCCTGACTTGGCTTGCGTTTTTATTTCTTTGTATTTTTCAAAATTCACCTATACTTGACGTACAATATGCCAGACAATCTCGTAATTCTAGCTGCTGATTCTAATTGACTTTGTTTGAAATTTCATTTTTTTTTCAATAGTACAACTGCTATTTATTCATAGTTACGAGGGCACCTTTTTTAAAAATTGGAAAAAAATAGAAAGTTGGCTTTTCAAAATAGACTCATGAAATGATTGAAAAATCTCGATTTCCCGAGACCATGACCATTTTTAAAAGTAAATGATTGTATCACAATCAATTTTTCACTCCAAGAATAATTTTTCCTGAGTTGTAACTAATCTTTCTGATCCCAGAATTTAACCAAAAATGAATTACATGCCAAAACAATTGTATGTTTCGAAATTTGAATCATTTCATTATTGATTGCTAAGAAGGGAATGTTGAAAAAAACAAGTATTTGTTGAATTTTGTTCGAATGCCGCTGATTATCCATCCTTCATTTTCGAGTTTATTCTAATCAATGCAATTGATAAATTGGATAAGTGAAAATTTTTGAATAAAAAGTATTCCGTCTTTTTCATTCTATTCAGAAAATTAAATATTCTTCGGTTTTGTGGATTAGTATTGATTCCATTAAACAATAATGAGATCGTAATCTTTGGCCTCTGCGGTCAGTAGCGGACTTAAGGTGGTCAATGGAAAAGAACAAAAACAAGCCAAACAATCCAGTTGAACTTCGCCCAACGTTACGACCCCATGTGCGAGGTCATTTTCAGGGGCATTTCATTTATTATAAAACTAAAACCAAAAGAAATTTGACCAATAATCAGTTACAACGCGGAGTTAAAATACAGAAAATACATGGGCTATGAAACCAGTAAAAAACTATATACATATTCTTGAGTAAATTGGCACATAACCACCGTCAACATCCCCTATGAGTAATGTTATGACAGGTCTAACCTAGAAAAAACCCATAGAAAAATTGCATGAGAAACCCCCCCCCCCCCCCC